AGTAAGATTACTAGTAGTATTTTTATTACTCGTATTATCGTTATTATCATCTTTAATCACAATCATTATTTTCATTATTTCGATTCTTGTTATTACTTCTGTTGCTACTACTAGTTGGATATGTTATAGCACAACATCAATGTACCGCCGTGTGCGGGGAATGTGAAGAGAGATCGGCGCATGCTGTTTCCGTTAAAGATAGGCCTTAGGAGGACCAACATCGGCATGAGTTACTATTTTGGGGCAACCCTATTATTCACTATATATATATATACATGTATGCCTTATGGGAACCCTAAAACTTAAACCCTATAAAGATAGGCTTTAGTTGGACCGACATCGGCAGGGAGCTTAGGAACAGCAGAGGTCTGAAGTGACTGCCTCCATACTGGTATTGCCATTCTTAGTATTATTGTTATTATAGTTATAATTAGTGTTATTATTCCAATAGTTATTCGTTATTGTTATTCTCATTTGGGTTACTATTGTTACTATTGTTGTTTTTATTGCTATTCAGTTTGGATATAATATCCGTGGTCTTTCAAATCATTACATGTTGGCATTCAACAGGGCCGCGGTAACAACCATGGCAAACTTTAAATGAAGCTTATGCCTGCGCACTGGAAGCAGATGGAAGAAATCCGTGGATATTGAAGTCGGCAGCCGCTGATTGAACATGTGTCCATTGGGTAGGATACATGTAGTTTCCCAAAATAAGGGGACCCCAATATAGACCCCAATATACTATAGTCCTTATTATTGGGACCCCCAAAATGGTACCCCTAATTTTGGGAAACCCCCACATGCCTGTCCAGAAGTCTTCCCTCGCCTTTGTCCAACACTACAACATGCAGCCTACCCATGCAGTTCTCTTTTGATAGGTCGAATGTTGTGGAAAGGCTTTTGAGGTTTTCATGCCACTTGACACCATAGACCTGCTCTTTGAAACCGAGTTGTAAAATCTTGCTGCCCTTTAGGAGCTCGACGAATGGCGCCAGCGCGAGGAGCACGAGCGCCAGGATATCAAGTTGCAAGACGTTTGCCAAGCTCTACATCCTTTCGGCATGTGGTAGTGCTCGGATTTTGCAACAATACCGGTGGCAGAGACAAACCAAACCAGGAGCGCTTTAAACATCAGGCTAGGCCTGAGCCAGGAGACTCCACAAAGCACAGCATACAGCGCATGCTCTGACAGCGTGAAGTCCAGATGGTTGGGCATGCTTGTGGCTTCATGCGAAACAATAGCAAACAGTCCCGCGCTGAATCAAGCAGACACGTGGCTCGCAGTAGGGATCAGGACGTCTCATCGTGCGCCACTGTCGCTAGACATTTCCCCCCACGTGACACGAGAAAACGTCTTGCAGCTTGCTCATCTGGTAGGCCATGCCAAGCTGCATAGTGCACTTGAAATATCTTGAAATGCAAAAGCACATGTTTCAAACTGACTTGGATGGACCAGGCTCCACTTCCTTCCATGCTTGCACGATGTTTGCATATCTCCAGGACCGTGAGCAGCGGGAGGCCGAGGCAGTGGGATTCAACATCGGGCTCCTTAATCTGGGTTGCTGTTA